AGTTACTCTTATTTAAAGGTCCATTGTACATGAAGTGAGACCATTCCATATACACCTGTATCGCCCATAAAAAAGAACGCCACCCCGCCCTAACTTTTTTCTTTTGCGTGTTTCAGCCATGGCAGGTAACATCATCCCAGCTATTGCCACGACCAACGCCGTCATCGCCGGTCTCATCGTGCTGGAGGGTCTGAAGGTCCTGTCGGGGGAGCTGGAATCCTGTCGCACGGTTAGTGGCTGCACCGTTCCCGCCTGTAGCGAAGCGCTATGGAACGATAAAGAAGCATCTTCAAGCTTTATCCAAAGTTCAGATCTCTACTTGTCTATACTTGGAGTGTCTCACCTTCCAAGTATGAAAACATTCTGTACTGTAATAATTCCTACTGGCTGGGAAATGATCCCATCTGAATTTTTTAATATCATCGATGGTGGGACAAAATCTAAAATGAATGTCCAAAGTCATTGCTTTAAGTTATTATCTTTATGTCTGATGCAAACAGGAGTAATTCATTGGTAGTTTAAAAACTATCCCCCACAACGTCATTCAGTCAGTCTCACGTCAGTCGCCATTTGTACTTTTTTTTTTACCGCAGATCTTCCTGAACAAGTGTCCCAACCTCAGGAAGAAGCTGCTGATCCCGTGCGTTCTGGATCCGCCCAGGGCCAGCTGCTACGTGTGCGCCAGCCAACCCGAAGTCACCGTCAAGCTCAACGTCCACAAGACCACGGTGCTCTCTCTGCAGGACAGGGTAATACGACAAGCTGGTTGACCCAAGTCTGCCGCCTCAGGCGACCTCCTTAGACATAAGTCTTGAAATGCCTGAGAGAAACCTGTATTTCATGGACCATTTAAAGCCCATAAAATACCAGTAAATATCAAGATGTGTACCGCCGCGTCACTGAATAGCTGTTGACGGGATGTTATTGTACGTTTCGATCAGATCCTGAAAGAGAGGTTCGGGATGGTGGCTCCAGATGTTCAGATTGAGGACGGAAAAGGCACCATTCTCATTTCCTCGGAGGAGGGGGAGACGGAAAGTAAGCAGGCAGGCGATGACTCAATCGCATTGTGGATTTGCCACTCCGCCAGAGGGGGGCACTGTAGCTGCATCGGTCTAATTAGTCCCAAGCTAAAACTGGTCAGACAGAAGGGGATTAAAAAGCATTTCGTGGACACAACCAGTTCTTTTGCGGCAATTTTGCGAATTACAGAGTTGTAATTGGGCAGTTTTGTGCTTTAGAAATCGATGTGTATACATACGTATATGTACCTTTTGAGTGGATTCGTTCATTCAATGAATATAACCTGAATGCATCATTCATCATTATAAATGTAGGGAATGTATTGTGGTTTACGTTCCAAAAGTTTTGGAGGAAGATTTAATAATTAATCGAATATCCCCACATGTATAGTAATAAAAACGCTGTGTGTGATTTCAACTATAGCCAACAACAGCAAAATTCTTGCTGATTTTGGAATCCGCAACGGCAGCCGCCTCCAAGTCGACGACTTCCTCCAAGACTACGCGCTGCTCGTCAACGTCCTGCACACGTATGTACCGCCAGTCATGCTGTCACGCGAGTGCATTGTGCCCATATTTCACCTCTAATGTTTGTGTGGTGTTCTTTTGGTGACTTTCACACATAGCGGTGTTCTGTTTGCATCTTTTTATGCAGTGAGGAGCTGGAGCGGGATGTGGAGTTCGAGGTCGTAGGTGAGGCCCCGGACAAAGCTCCGCCCCCTCAGAGTACCCAGGAAGAGGTCAAAAACATCACCAACGGCAACAAGGACTCTGCCCAGCCATCCACCTCTTTTAAAGGTCAGCAGCAGAGAACTTTTTTCTTCTAATTGTTTTTAGTTTGTTCTTAGTTCACATCCGAGTGGTGCTGGTTTGCTTGCCTCTTGTCTCCAACTCTGATGAGTAGGAATTTGTGCGCTGCTTTGTGTTATCGCTCCAGACGGTTTAATGGCCTTCGTTACTCCGTAGGGTGATCACATCTGAATTATGGAGATATGTAATCTTTCATTGTGACAGACGGCCGTTAGCAGTAGGTGCTGCAGGTTTCAAACGGCTGTTCCTTTGCGTCCGCTGACATCGTTATCTTCTAGATAATGAATCTCTTACTCTTTTGATTTTAATTGACCATTTGAGCGTCACAGAACCGTGTTATTCTTTTTGTGCAATTTTTTTCTTCTTCCGTAAAACACGTTTGCCTGTTGTTGTTGTTTTGGTAACCTGTGAAAGCTGTCTTCCGCCACCTTTCAGCTCCAGAGGACGCAGAGGACGATGATATCATGATCGTTGACTCTGGTGAGGAGGAGGAGGAGGAGGAAGGGGCGTCATCCAGTACAGCGGTAACAACTAGCGCCTCCAAGAGGAAGCACTCCGACGCAGAAACTGGAGAGACCTCCACCAAGCGCCCGCGGACGGACCAATCGAGTGCGGCTGCTGCCACCAATGATGATGACAACGACGATGATGACATCATTGCTCTCGACTGAACGTCCCCTCCCCCCTCTCTTTGTTACCCCGAAGGATTGAAGAGTCTTTGAAGGCTTTTCACAGTTGAGTCCAGACTGACAGTAGGTTTGAGTAAGGCACCTCTTTCATGAACAACAGTTGACTGCCCTGGTTCGCCCAGCTGTTGTTTCTCACCCCAACCCTCCCCCTCCCTCTGCTCTGAGACGATGCTGTAAATAGGTTCTACATCTACAACTTTTTGAAAAATCCGTACAACTTCTTTGTTAATTTCTGGTTCCTACAAAAAAAACCTCTTGCTGGTTTGGAAAAAAGTTTTTTTGTTGATTTTGTAATTTTTTATAAACGTAATGTATATCTCATGCTATTACACGAGAGAGGGTGTTTATGTGCTTTGTGGTCAGGTGAAATTTACAAGATGTAAAGAAAATGTGTTACATGGGTTGTGATATTGATCTCGGTGCTTTTGTGGGAGAGTAGGCGGGTGGGGTTCAACAGACTGGCCAAGGAGTCTAAAGCCAAGCTCAAAACTCTTCCGCGGGGGCTGTTAATGTCCCTGTTTGGACACTTTGTGCCCTGTGATGGCAGGTGGGGGGAGGGCGTCAGTTTGCTACTTGTCCAAAAACAAGTTTTGACTGCAAATTCCAGGCAACGGCCTGCAGGTTGTCCTGATCCTCGGGGCTGTGCCTGAGAAGCAGTCGGGCCTTTTTCACACCAGAGGGACATAAGACACAAAGCGTAGCCGCTAACCCCCTGCCGTCTTCTCCCGTGTCCCTGTGTCCTTAGTTTCATGAGTTTAATTGCGATCTGATTTGTTGTTCTGCCGAAAAACCTTTTGGACACAAAGACAATAATAAACTCAACAAAGACACTTTCTTGTCATTGTCTTCTTTTTATCTTTATATTTGTATATATATATATACATATACATATATATATATATATATATATATATATATATATATATACACACAGACACACACACACATATCTATCCAATTGTTATGAAGACAAGGAAGATAACCCCGACTGATGGTGGGTCGACGAGCCTGATTGTGGTTAAACTCTGTCCTTGTTCAGAAGCTGACCTCAAGTAAAAGCCCGAACAAAAACATGCCAATGTTTTGTTTGATGTTCTGAATACGTTTGTTCACTTCGGGGGTTAAAGTCTCTCACAGAGTGTGACGTCTTTAGGAGTAACTGTGATGTAACACCAGGACAAAGCTACACACAGACAGCCCTTTATAATCAAGATTGATTGATTTCAAAATATTTGTCGATGAGCTAAGACCGACTGGAGAAGTTGCTTGCTACAGTGTTAACGTGTACACAAGCTCTGGCTTTACTAAAGAGCATTTTTCATGACTGGCGCTTGTGAGCATAATGTACCAGGAGGATGAGGCCGATTAAAACATTACTACATTTAAAAACAACAAAAACATACAAACTAAAACATTCCATTACGAGGAAATAAAGAAGGGAGGCATGTAAATGCAAGCATATGGGACAGGTCATAATGCATTTTTGTAGAGCAGAGACGGTGTGCTGGGAACTGCAGGGTTTGCTGTTCGCACCCTGGCTGCTCCATGTCCCATGTCGAAGTGTCCCTGAGAAAAGACACCAAACCCCTAACTTCTTCCCTGGCAATAATGCAACCATTAAACATGCAATATAAATCACTTTGGATAAAAGCGTCAGCTAAACGACATGTAATGTAATACTAATATAAGTACATTTTGTAGACTATCATATACAATCAGTATTTCTTTTGTTGCTGCTTTTTACAAAAAAACTAACCCTTTTTTTCCCATTGTACTTACGTGATATAATGTGACTTTTTTTAGATCAGACTACGCCAGCCTTATAAATAGCTGATTTCCAAGTTTGATGTTCAAAGCAGTTTTTGGAATAATACTACACCATACAGTCTTTTGGCAGAATGAACGGGGCCACTCTGCATAACGAGTACCGTTACTCTTTCTTCTTTAAATAAGTATTGCTAATAATACTTTGACCCCTGTAAAATATTTAGTAAAGACTTAAATGAAGACTACTAATGTAATAATGTAAAGTATAATAAACATTGTTTGTGTTTTGCATACTCATTGGACCACAAGCGAAAAGCAGTTATTAAAAGGGTTTCGCAGGAAAAAATAATAATAAATAATGAAATGTCAGGGTAAAATGAGTAAAACATCGCTTGCGCTGTAGTTAGGTACATCGATGTTAAGGTAACAAATAAAAAAAAGTTATTGATATTTGCATTATAATTACAAACCATTAAACCTTTTTACCAGCACAACTCTCACCAGCATGATGATGTCCACAATTGTGGAAAAAATAGATAAATATAATGCGTTTGTCTTTAAAAATAATAAACCACCTGCATCTCGTATTAAAACTGTATATTTTCATCGTCGTCACCACTACGACCGCCCCCTCAGTGGAGGCCGCTGATTGGTTAGGATTGCATCCCGCCCCCTTTCCCCCTTCTCCCCCCTTCCCCTCTGTACGGCCAAACAACACTTCCCCAGGCTCCGTCCATCCGGTGCGCGAGCAAACGAGGACGCCGTTTAACCGGGTTAACTTGGCACAGCAGGCTCGGGAGGAACCGGTTGTTGTTGTTATTGTCTTGAATGTGTACCTGCGCCTCCCTCTCCCCCCGCCTCCAGACTACCGGTCGGAAGGCAGAGCCGAGAGGGAGAGAGCTGAGACTTGCAGTGGGTCTAACCGACGGGAGCTAACCGCTAAGCCTGGTCGTGGAGCCGTTAACGTCAGCTGCGTCAACATGGTGACCCTGTGCTCCGCCGCGAGACCCCTCGCCTCGCTGCTGCGCCGACACGTCCTCAGACGCGCCTGGAGTTCCCGAATCGTGCCCGCCAGGAGATGCAACCTCTTGGCGTGCTCGAGCAAATATGTGCTGTCGCAGAGTGAGTACCGATCATTTACCACGGGGTGGGGTGGGGGGACATTTTTAACCCCCGACATCAGCGCCGTACGGTGGCGGTGCGTCTGTGTCTGCGTCTGTGTCGGCTGATCTGACAGGGAGCGTCCCGTCCTTGTCGGTCTCGCGCAGAGCATCAGTTTATGGGCGATTGTTGTCATCCGAAAGAGGGGAGCAGGGGTTTGGAAAACCCGGGCTGGATCCTTCAGCTTCGCCGGATCAGAATCACTGTGTAGATTTATGTGTTTAAGATGGATCTCGGGCGCCGGGTTTTCCAAACACGTCTCGGCATCCCTGTAGGGGCCACCTGAAGCCCTTTGGCCTACATTGGGACCCGTGTGGTAAGACATTACATCAGATGTTGTGTAATTTAGCATTGTACTGGTTCCCTTTCAACTGTGGTTAAGTTTGAAGAATCAATTTACAAGCATACAACGACCGGTTAGCCACCTGTTAGCTTACTTACTTTTTTCAAAAGAGAAGATGACATTTTAGTGATATATCTTATGTCGTGCAATAAATTCAAAGAAGCTATTGAACTAGAAGTGCAAAAGACGTGGACTCATTTCTGAGTTTCATGCACCGCTCAGCTCGGGGGATTATGTTATGGGTGTGACATCGAAATAATTAAAGGATACATCCTTGCCACTTTTTTACACGTTCCACCTGTCCTGTGAGTCATTCGCCCTTCCCATTAATGGAAAGTTTTTGCCTGGCATGTCCCAACAGCCTCTCTCACCGTGATAATGAACACATTTCAGTGCCAATGTTAAAACGCTGCAATGAGCACGTTGTGTCCAAAAGCTCTATGGGAGGACTCTCGCTCTTGTCTTTGAAGGGGTCCTCCAGAAAAGGAGGTTTCTTGTCCGTCCAGCGGTCTGTCCTTTTGATCTGATCTTGTACTTTCCTTTCTGAAGAGACATCTGTGTTCTACCTGCTGCTCAGGCAGAAACCGCTGACTCACAGGGAGCCCCGACACCGTGACCCTGATGTTAGTCGACCACCCAAAGGCACTTGAGTGAAGCTCGCCCGGGACGGCACGCTCACCCTGCAAAGACTCCCTGAAACCCACTTGCCGTAATTTCTGATTGATGTTTTGTTCATAATCGGCAGAGGTTTGCCGATACTGTCTTCAGATAATTCCGAGAACAACTGATACTTTACATTGCCGCCTGTTGAATTTGTGTTAATCACTGTTAAGGACTGTGAGTGCGTCATCGAATCAGGCACTGATTTCCATTCATATTTTTGTATTACATGTCATTTAGCTTACACTTTTATCCAAAGCGACTAGCATTTTTAACCACTCCTATGCGTGCCACACTACTCCCTGCAGTGGAGTAGTGTGGCACCCGCAGTTGGGGGTTTGATGTCTTTGCTCAGGCACACTTTGACATGGGACATGGAGCAGCCAGGGTTTGAGTACTCGAGGTACTGTGCAGTTATAAGTCAGCCCAGTGATCAAAACGTGACGTGTACATGTCATGTGTGTTGCACGTGCTTTGCAGTATTTTGTGTCTGGCTCAAATATATTGCAATACAGATAGGCAATAAAATACAATTGAATCACCTGTGTGCTTTAGACCGCCTCCCCAGTACAATGGTCACAAAGCGAGATATTAGCCATAGAGACCAAACCGTTTTTTTTGGCCTTGTTGTACATTTATTTATTTATTTACGCTGCCGGCATCAAGTGGCCACTTGAGGTACTGCAAGTGTTTTGGCACTTGCTTGAGCTCCATCCGTCAATGAGCGGTCTGTGCTGGTTGGAGGGTTGTTGCTGAACTCCAAAGTAAGGCTGGGCTGTATGGCCAAAAATTCAAGATTCTGACGGTCTCCCTGTATATTGCACTATTTGTTTTTTCTGAATAAACATTCATTCATTGACGCCGAAAACGGTGGCTGACCACTGGAACATTTTTACATCACGAAGTAGCTTCGTCCGATACGCGCGCGGCGGTCAGGTGTAAAAATAAAATCTGCTGCCTTCCAAATTGAAACATCAGCTGTTACAGCTACACACGGTATGGCGGTACCGGAAAAACGTACACCTTGAGGCAATCTGATACCGGTATGCCGGTTGAATCGGTACACCGCTCAGCCCTACTCCAAAGATATGCCCCCTCAGACGGTGCGAACTGTGAAAGATGCTAATAAATGTTCACTGTATCCATCACTGACACTCAAGGTCAAGGATGCATTGTTAAGAGGAAAAAGAACTGTCGTCGCGCCTTCACAGTATTATAGAGTTCTGTCTTTCAATCCTGTGATGGTGATGGTCATGTCCCGGTCAGACCTTTTTGGCCCGGTGGAAACCGGATGAATGGAGGGGGAGGAAAGAAGAGCCTGCACCGCTTTTGCCCTTTCTCAAAGCAGCACTCGAAAAGATTCCTTTCTGTAGATAAGCGTCGGTCAGGAGTGGGAGTGGAAACTGAACCTTTTAATAAGTAGAGGTAGATGTTTTTGTTTTTTTTGGTGGATTTCAAAGGGTAAAGAAGGAGGACGGAGGCTTCGGGGTAATTAGAAGTCCGGTCCGCTGACGTGCGTTGGCCCGAGCTGGCGATTTGAGTGGCCGGAGGTCCCGGTCAGGTTTCCCTGCTGTGTAGGGGAGCTGGGGGCGTGCCAGAACATTCCGCGTGTCACTTTCTGTACAGCCAGCCCATTTCTCTCTTTATTTTCTGATATCCTTTTGGGAAAGAAAAAACAACTGACTAGAAGGAAGTACTATTGCTCCTTATTATTTCCTCCTTCAACGCTTCGAGGAAGGAGGACGGATTGTGCGTTGTGTGTCTGGCCATCCCCGACACTAGTTTATGTGTTTCCGTCAAATGTTTTTTTTTGTTTTAATATGGACTGTCTTACTATGCATGACGCAGCCGAGTACAACATGAAAAGTAGGTGTCAGCAACTTTTTGTTTTCACTTCTTTTTTTCTTTCTTTTTGAACTTTTCAGGAGGCGTTCAGGTTTTTTTTCTTCTGTTTTTTTCTGATTCTCTCTCTCTCCTCTCGCAGTACATCCCATGTGGCAGGAACCCCTCACGATACCTGGAGGCGACCGCCAGTCCCCCATCGACATCGCCGTGCGAAAAAGCGTGTTCGACTCTGAGCTGAAGCCCCTGGTCTACGACTACGACCCGCAGACCTGCCAGCAGATCTGGAACAACGGCTACTCCTTTCTGGTGGAGTACGACGACACCACCGACAAGTCCAGTGAGTGCCTTCCTGTGTCTATTTCGTCACGGATGGGGAAATCCCTCAATATGCATTAAGAGCTACGCCATTAATCGTCCTGCAGGGATATTAAAAGTTAAACGATGGCCCGTTCCACAGACCCTTTTCAATATGAAATATTTGGAGCAAGTCGGTAGTTTCCATTTGAATCTGAATGGATTTAAAACTCAGCCCGAAGAATGTTTGTTCTGATCTACATAAGAGGCTTATCCCCCCCGCTTCCCCCTTTGCCTAAGAGCCCTCTGTCCTGTAATCAATGCTACACTTAAAGCCGCTGATAAAATATGCCTGACGGTCACGTGGATCAGGTGACCAGCGCGAGCGTGTCCTGACCTCAACAACAGCTATTTAGTCTGTACACAGAGTTTTGGTCATTTTATTTTGATATAATTACGGTGCTGCAGCACGAGCACTGACATCACTTTCTAAACTATAGGAACAAATTAGAAATGAGACCTGGTCCTGAGAGAAGCAGGTTCACAACAGGGTTTTAGTACTACATGGATGAACGTGTTGTATCTCCTATGGCACTTTCCAGTCAACTCAAATAAATACATTTCTGAAAAGTCCAGCATTGGTTAATCTCTAATTGTCCAGGTCTGTCCTTTTTTTAAATATGTTTTATTTTGCGGCGCAGCGCTCAAGGGGGGCCCCCTGCAAGACACATTCCGGTTGTGCCAGTTCCACTTCCACTGGGGGGAGAGCAACGCCTGGGGGTCAGAGCACACGGTGGACCGGAGGCTGTTCCCTGCAGAGGTACAGCGCCGCCACACGCCGTCCACGCTGTCCACGCTGTCCACGCTCCTTCATTTGATATTGTCAACGAGGTAGAAAAGCCCAGTTTTTAAAATGGAAAGGGACGTGGTAATATTAATGATATAATTCTTAAAAAATATGGGCAACTATATTATCTCCCTCAAAATACTGTGGGCATTTAAAGGGGGTGTACACAAGAACACTTTAAGATCAGTTCTTTTCCCCTTTAAGTGGAGAGGGATGGAGCACATACCATCACATAGCATGTGAATGGGTTTTAGTCAGTAATCCTCTGCCACCAGCTGGACCCTCGGGAGATTATATCTTGAAAATATACATTAAATGAGAGGGCAGATCACCCCCACTTCTTCCCCATCGGGGCCTCTCTTGGTCTGCGTCTCAGGTGCAATGAGGAAGAAGTCATTGGTTGCTATTCATGTCACACTATGGGACCGTCCTGACTAAAGACAGGAACAAAGGAAGAACAACACGTGTGTGACCACGTGATCAGGCCATTCAGTGCAAAAAGTTGTGCATGTGGTGCTCAGGAGAGCAGCTCGTCCTCCACAGTCCTTTTTCCCACCACAAGACAGTTCAAAGAATACAAAATAAATGTAACACGGCACTGTTTAAACACTGCAAATGTTGACTTACTTTTCCAGTCAGGTTTGTTTTCTATTCTTCTTTAACTGTAAAAAAACCCAGAGAGGGAAGAGGGGGGGAGGTTTGGAGCGGGGCGATCTTCGCCAAGCTCTGCCTCAATATTCTGCCCGATGGTACCGCCGGTATCGGTCATGTGTTTGTCTGTGTACCAAACTCTAACACAGTGTGTGTGTGAGTGTGAGGGGGGGTCTCAGCACGGTGAGATTAGATTCTGCTTGTGTTTTACATGCAGTTCCATCAACTTGCAGAACATTTTGCACGGTGTGTGTTTGTCATCCGGCAAGCCCTTGTTGCAAGGTATCTGTCGTTGATCTTATCACACAGCAGTCTTTGTGTGTGTGTGTGTGTGTGTGTGTGTGTGTGTGGCGGATCAAGTTATAATTCTGTGAGTTTTTTTGCAGTTCTGAAAGTGTCTCGTCGTTACTCATTTTTCTGATGTTTGTCGAACACAGAAGAGGACTTATGAGAAGCTCTGGCATCATTCGCACGCTGAAGGCGATCTACCTGATCGACCGGATGAACGATACATGCCTGCGTGTATTGTCCTCGGAGAGATTATGACCTCGGTGCAGGTTTCCCGTTTCACCCACAGTTGACTGGTAGCTTTGATTGCACACAAAGGCGTGAAAAAGATCAGGGTTAAGGTTTATAATCGGTCTCACAAACACTCACACAGGCACGCCCACACACACACACACAAACACATGCACACACACATGCGCGCGCACACACAGACGGACTCATGACGTTTATGTACACTCTGTGTGTATGTGTGTGTTCTCAGCTCCACCTGGTCCACTGGAACGCCGACCGGTACAGTCTGTTCGAGGAGGCAGTGATGGAGGACAATGGACTGGCCGTCATTGGAGTCTTTCTGAAGGTACGGCCCACATGGAGGAGCCCGAAGTAATTCGAGAAGAGACAAGGCCCCCGTGTGATCAGACATACTTTCAGGCGGCGGTGTCTCGTGCACATGCTGCATCGTGAATGAGGCCACTATGTGTGCAGTTTATACTCTACTACCGACTACCATCCAGATTAATGTCTAATGCTTTGTGTAGGTGGGAAAGAGACACGAGGGAGTGCAGAAGCTGGTAGACGCTTTGCCTGCTATCAGACACAAGGTCAGTGTCACACACATACACGCACACACGCCTCTCTACTCGATGACTTACCTTTGACTTGTGCCCTGTAGTCTTTATTGACCTCATGAAACCCGTTTAGAATTCTTAGGATCTTCCCTGGGAGGTAAATGCTAGCGCCCTCTAGTGGGTCATAGGAGACGTCACCGGGTTGGTCAGAAAGTCTCCGTGAGGAGACCGACTGGAGGTCACATTACTGCTACCGTGCTGCTTATCGCTAATCAGTTGGTGTTTGTCCAGCAAGGGCGATGGTGCTGTGGTATAACACTCATTGTGGTATGCTTGTGTGACATATTTCATAATAGATCTCGATTAGATAATGATGGTTGTAGTATTTAGATCATTGCGTCAGTCTGCTGTGTAATCATGAATTTTAGCACATGTGTTATACTAATTATAGGAATATTTTATATATTATCCCATAATATATAAGTAATAATGAATAGTCATATTAAAATGCTGTAACCTCATGTGTGCACAGAATCTTGGTGGTATCTCTCCCTAAAAAAAATAATTCACCTTCTGTGACGGTGTGTTTTTTTCCCCCCTTGTGTCTGCAGGACAGCGTTGTGGAGTTTACCCGGTTCGACCCCGCCTGTCTGTTACCCGCCAACACTGACGACTACTGGACCTACCACGGCTCTCTGACAACCCCCCCTCTGACCGAGTCCGTCTCCTGGATGGTTATGAAGCAGCACATCGAAGTCAGCCACGACCAGGTGTGTAGTGTCCCGTTCTGAGGGTGACCGGTCGCAGCTCATCCAACCGCGCCTGGGAGCATTTTGTGCCTGAAAGCAGGAAAACGGCCTACATCTTGTTCTTCCCCCTCTACTAGGGCTCTTCTCCCAGCACGATTTCGCCTCTTTTGTACTGTTAAAGAGGGTATTAATGAGTTTTGCTACTTTTTTGCCAGTCGAGAAGCACCATTTTGATTCTCCATACGATTTAGTTCCATATGATTTAGTTTATCCAAACAAGCACTGTTTTGAGCAACAAAGAGCTGCTGCTGTCAGTCCCAGGAGGGATAGACACACACAGACAGACCGACCGGTAGGGTGATATTTATGCAGTTGAACTCTGTCTTTGTTGTTCCCCCTTGCGGCAGGGACCTCTTCGAGCAGCGTACTGTAGAAACCCATGTTTACACTAAAAGGACTTTCACTTTAATTAACATTATTAGAATGTTTATCTCCAAATAAGTGACCTCTGTGAGTGTCATTTCTCCAGCACAAACTAATCCGCGCATACTGCAGAGTGGAAGAGTACAAGCAGAAACATTGAGAGGTCTGATGTAGAGTGAGTTTCTTTTACCTGCTGTATGGTGTGATGAAAAAGAAAACATGCAGCCAAAATACAAAGGAGACAATTTTCCTAAGAATTACGAAATGAACGTATTATACGCACCTTTTTAAACAACCGCTCCTTTAACCAGGAAGTGCTGTCAAACCGAGTCGGCCTTTGTGTTTCTGACCTTCTCCTCTTCCTCACCTTCTGTGTTACTCCCCCCTCCTCGTCTCTAGCTGGCGGTGTTCCGGAGCCTCCTCTTCACCTCGGCGGAGGAGGACGTGCAGAGAAGCATGGTGAACAACTTCCGCGTGCAGCAGTCGCTCTGCAGCCGCACCGTGCGCTCCTCCTTCAGCCCTTTTCTACAGGAGGCTGACGCCGACCAGCACGCCCACTGAAGCCACTGGGCCCAGTGCTCCCAGTAACAGACCAGAGCTCCCCGTTAGTCTCCGAGCAGCTTTCCACACTCCCTTCTTTTTTCACTCTCCCAACACAAATGTTTCAGTTCTACTTATTGACTGTTTCTGGATGTACATCCAGTACATCCTTTTTTTATTATTACAAATCAGTTTCATATAGTGGAGGGATCATTTTGATTTTTTTTCCAATTTTGGTTTGTGTGCTGTACATCAATGACAATAAGGTGTGAGAACTCCACAGCGCTGCCTGCCGGTCTCAGTCCATACTGCAGCAGAGTGCTCTGACATCAGTCTTTAATCTTTATAAGGGGCCGCTGGTAGTTTGCAGCAGAAAGCCAAGAGGTTTTAACATTCTACATTAAATATTGAATGTAATTAAATGTTGTTTAAATGTATGTTACTAATACTCACAAACCTTTTCCCATTACATTTTAGCCGAATATTCTGGTTGAAATGTATTCATACTTTTTTTTTTTTTACCACGGTGCCTTAAATATCCTGCGTGCAGCGCAAACTCAAAGACGCCGCACGAGTCTGTGCGCCGTCTTTGAGGGTTCTCAGCAGAACCGGTGGAGCAGAACTCCCAACAGCGTGCCGACGAGTTACAGGACACGGAGGAGGAACTCAGTAAAGCAGCCGCTGGCTAGACTTTCAGGTAGACTGAATCGAGTGTTTATCTCGAACTTCAGTCCGGGTGGTTTTGGTGAGTGATGTGATGGCTGAAGTCAATCAAAGTAACACGATGCCATTAGTCCAATGGCATTGTTTTGGATTTTTTCCTAAATGTATTTTGGAAAATTTTAGAAAGAGTGGCTAATATCATACAGCTGGAATGCAGAAAAGCTACTACTATTCCAAACAGCTTTTGTATATTTTTACAATTTGAATCTCAATGATAACACCATGGTCAGCTTTAGTTGGCTGGCTTGGATCTAGAGCGCCATTATGCAAGCTTGCATCATGTAAAGAAGTCTTGACCCCCCCGGTGAGTCTCACAGCGCTGTGCTATTGGAGAAGAACAAGAGGGGTGAGAACATTTACTAACCACCAACACATAAAATATCGTCTAGTTACACACAATATTCACATTAGTCGTCACTGTCAATAACAATTACAGACAAAAGGATGCCCCCTAGTTCCCATAGCAGTTCCTAGGAGAGAGAAGTTCCCCATGATCCAACCCGTGCCTGTATTTCCCCAAAAGGATTCCAGCTGTGGTCTTCGAGCAATTCCTTAATGCCTTGCTCTGTGTCTGCCACCACATCATAAACTGCGATGTTGCAACAGAGATGTAAGTGCAACATTCACTGTTAATTACCCTGCATACCCCGCCTTGCGAAGCCAAAACGAGGTCCAGAGCCCTTCTATTTTGTAATACCATGTGTTTGATGTCATTTACTTCCTTTTGCATTTCGGAAAGTGCTATTGAAGTGTTATTCGTGTCTCTTTCCAGCACTGTTGAGAGAGCCATTATTTCCTCTTGGCTCCTGTAGGTGCCATACGATGGTATTAGTATGCTCAAAACCCTTAAACCTAGTGAAATGGCACGTTTATGACGTACATGGAACGGAGCAAGTTCCTTGGAGTCAGCCTGTCTAATTAGGGGTATAAGGTATGCTGAATAGCATTTTCCAGTGACTGACTTTTTATGAAGGTTCCCTATGACTGGAACACAGCTATAAGCGATGCTGCCACAAACTAAATAAACCTGAGATCTTTGGATTCAGTGGTAAAGCTGATAATATCATTACTACAGTCACTCGTACCTAGATGAAATCCATCCAGAGCATAGAAGTTAACACAGCGGCTGACGTTGGTTAAGGGATGGACCGGAATGGGAGGTACAATTTCTATTCGGAGGTCTGGTTTGGATCAAAAGTTTATTACAATTATGTCTATTCCAAGTCGAATGTGTAACTTGCCCAGGGGATGCCCTGTATGCCCATCTCCAATCGAATAGATGCTGTATTTGGTATGAGAGTACATGCAGGTTTTTTAACACTTCACTGTCCGGTGTGCAATTAGTCTCCCCGAGAGTCATTTGCACTTGATATCTTAACCCTTGTTGGACATATCATTTGTAATGGGTTAATCTAAACAACATCACTTGATTAATACTTATAGGTCTATTTTAACGATTGAACCGCTTAACTGCAAAACGTACAACTTCCCCCTTTTCAACCTCATAGGCAACTGTGCTTTGCGCTGTTGTCGCCGTATTCGATGGAGGAGTGTAACAGTCTTCATCATTACTCACAAATCGATGAGATAGCTCAGGCCACCCCATGACATCCCAGTCGGCTTCCGTGAATGGCACAGGAACCAACATAGGTGCTCTAGATGAAGTGAGCATATGCTGATATATCCAACAATTAGACATTCCTTACCTTAGCAAAATCATTCATAATAGTCAATGCAAAATTGTCATGCTCGTACGGTGGTGTACGGGTTGGAAGTTCTCTTAACTGTAGGCTTACTTTGCACGCATACTGCCAATCTAGCCGAGTGAGGTGGGCTGGCTCCATCGTACAGTCTGCAAGTTGAGCGCAGCAGAACGGGTATTCTCAACTTGTGTCATATTTAGGACTTAGAGTCACTGTGCAAGTGTTGTTTGTCTGACACTGAGTCCTAAAGTCCTCTGAGTTCAGGACTGACCAGCGACCTAAGTGCGGCGTGCTCAGCCGTAACATGTAAGCTTTACAACCCTCCTTGCCACCACCCCCTTTTGGACATTTGAAAGAGATCAACCTTTGCCGCCAAGTTGCTTTGGTGGGGAGCTGTTCTGGCCTATGGGACGTCAAGGCCTGTGGTTTACCGGCTTCGTAAATTATTTCAGGTGGTACTGTTTTAGGCTGTGTCTCACTGACAGGCTGGTAAGTTCTTTAGCACGTCTCCCTCCAGTTGCTGGAGCCAGTGTAGGCTGGTATCTCCTGACCCGATCGTGGTTTACTGCACCAGAATGGTGGATCTGCTAAATCAAATGTCCCGTGCACCCACACAGTACATATTCTATCTTTTCTTACCCCGGGAACACACACAACTACGTGACTTTCTATTTTAACCCATGCATCATGTTCGATTGTGTAGAGCACACACTCTGTCTCGTTGCATTGTTTAGCTGGACAATGGAAACTCATTTTCCCTTCCTGAAATTCCTTATTGGAGAGATGGAGAAGGCTGGAATCTGTGATGTTCACATAAGGAGGTTGTAGTGCATTGATCTTGAGGGGAATCAGCACAAATGTGGCCAGCGTCAGTGATATACACATGTTCATTCTCAGGCTCCAACCATGCTTCCTAAGTGTTCTTTGGCGCTGGAGATCTGTCTTTTATCGCCGTTCTCCGGGTGGCTGCCGTCCTTGCTGTCTCTGCCGTCTCTGCCATCTCTACCGGGCTCGTTGGTGTCTTGGAACACTGCAGTGGGTGGGGCTCTCCACCCTGCAACCCCTTCGCCTCCTGGCCTACTGCGTTTGCAGTGGCTGGCGTGGACCCACGTCGCTTTTCCCTTCCACCATAACTGCCGTCTCCGTGGTCAGGAGTACTTGGAAGGGCCCTGTGTAGCGTCTCTGCTTCCAGTGCTTTCTCCAGTGATCCTTAATGAGGACCCAGTCTCTGGTTTCAGGTGGTGCTGGACTGCAGTAGCCAGGGATGGAAGCACCGCTTTTACCTGCCTGTGCAGTGCTGAGAGTGAGGGGGAGAGGTTAGCACAATATATCAGCATGCTCATTTATAGCAGTGCACATCCCCCCTTTGCCCACGTGATCTCTTCCGTGAGACAACTTAGCATAAATGTGGAAGAGAGCACGTGGCAAGCAAGGCCTACTGTCCAGCCCTGTCCAGATTCCGCCCTCAAGAATGGCACCAGATCATTTCCACAGGGAACGCTCCTGTGCACCAGCAAGAGACTGAAGTGTGGGAAGATCGGCATAAGGACTAGGATCTGTCGGTGTGGAAAGCATTTGAGTGAAGGGGAAAAGGAAGCCCTGTGAGGCTGCCCTCTTTGCCCCTGCATCCGCTCCCCTGTTTCCTGGCCGCTGCCTGTTTCGGGTGAGTGAGAAGCGGAGCCGTCCACAAACAGCTCAAGATCTGCATTGGAAAGAGCTGTGTCCAACAGATCAGGCCTTGGTATGCATGTCTGCTGCAAGACTTCGACACAATCATGAGGCTCTCCATCATCTGCAGTTAGAAGAAGTGTAGCTGGTTTAAGGACATCGCATCGTTTGACAATTACGTTAGGCAGTTCTAACAATGTTGTATGATACCTGAACCATCTCTGAGCAGAGAGGTGAGAAATCTTCTGGGCATGTAAGACATGGGAGACAGCATGTGGGACCATAAGTGTCACATCACAGTAGCTCATAATGTCACATGATGCTAAAATGTCTCTCTCGGCTGCTGCCACTGCTCGCAAAGAGAGAGGAAGACCCGAAGCAGCTGTGTCAAGTTTTGAGGAGAAGTAGGCAGCAGGCCTAAGTTTTCCTCCATGAAGATGACACAAACTGATGTCATTTAACAGTCCTTCTGGTCTACGAACTGAGTCTTTGGTAAGTCAGGTCTTGGTAGGCCCAAAGTCGGAGCCTGTGATAAGGAAGTCTTTAAGTCCTGAAAAGCCTTTTCAGCTTCAGTAGTCAAAGTCAGTTTGTCATGCGCGCTGAGGCCTTTACCGTGGACCATGAACGAGAGAGGTGCCTCTCTTTCTGAATAATTTGGGATTATGTCGTAGATGTTCCTAAGCGCTTCTGTGGAATACACCTGACTTTTGTGGTTACCCACTGGACATCCTATTCATTTATAACCGCGCCCAATATAGGGAAAAACCAAACCAGCTTGTCTTCTTGTTTGGGAGGCTATACAAGTCTGCGTGTTGTGTGTTTTCCTCAACGAGCTCTACTGTCCTGTGTACACTTACTCGTGTGATCAACGTAGTGCAATCTACATTACCACTAGCGCTATACTCTTCATGAGGATCCTCTGCACCCGGTCTGAACTTTTGGTCATGCCATACTTCCACATACCTGCTATCTCGCCCTGTGCTTACACAGGATGTGCAATGTAATGACTGTTCATGCATGTAATGTTCTACTGTGTGTGTATGCGCAATTTGTACACGGTCATGAGTAATTAATGCATCAAGGTATGCTAGTAGTTTTCATCCATATACATACAGGAGGGTTTTTGGACTACTTAAACATCTCAAATAATTGCAATTTAGTCTTTTTTCTTTATTTTTTTGTAAATGCCATCTGATGTTGAGCTCAAACACTATGCCAAATGCTCTTGCCGGATGGCAAGAAATTATCAATGTTAATTATGGGAATTTCTAAATATAAAAATGAGTTAGTTACTCGACATGCAATCTAAGATGTGTGTGTGTGTGTGCGTGCAGTTGTGTTAGCTATTTGTTTCGTTTATGAGCTTGTGTAGGGTGGGTTACTTTCTCATCGTGATGGGTGCTCCGTCTCTGGGGTCCGCCCCTCCCTCTGCCTCCCTCAGTCAGACGTGTGATGTGTCTCATCCTCATGTGCTCAGGACACTCTGCTCGCCAATGTCCTTGTTGTCCACAATTGTAACACACGTTTGGATCATAATTCCCGTAAGTCCGATCTGATCTGCCTCTCCCACGATCTCTTCCATAACCTCTTCCTCTTCCACTTTGGCCTTGGGCAAATTGTTGGCACTGCAAGCACGTAAACATTGCATACTGAGCCTGTTCAAAACCTTTTAGTTTGTCCTCTTTCTTGTGTAACTCTGCAAGAGCACACGTTTTCCAGGTTACACATGATCTTTTCACCATCCGTTTAAGTTCAGGTCTCATTCTGCTTATAAAATGTTCTTTCAGAATGACATATGGCATCAGGGGTTGTGCCCCCATCGGATGAGGTCGCTTAAGGCCACTGGATATCAAAAGCTGTCATCAGGCGTGCCAGGAATGAGCTGCATGTTTCTTGTAGCCCTTGTGTCATAGAGGTGACGGTGGGGAGGTTCAGTCTCAGAGGAAATTGTTCTTTTACCAACACAATGAGAGCATCTACAGCACTTCTAATGTCCACATCTGTGCCGTGCTCACAATCAGGATCTTTAAGGCGAGCAGCCATTCTTGTGGTGTTGAACACACTCTGAACCTTGTGATAGCCATGTGTCAGAAGTCTGCACATCAGACGCCGCAGCTCTGACATGCTAGGATGGTATTTTCTGACAAATTGCTGAAGATCAGTCTCCCACTTAGCAAGATTGTCCTTGGGACTGCAGACGTGGCTCATTGCCTTAGTCACATCGGTATCGGACCAGGGTCTGAAAACCAGCATCGGCCCTTGTCCCCCCTCCACTGGAAAAGAAGCTGCAGGTTCGAACAATGCCTTTTTTCCTTCTCTGAGCAAGACCCGTCTTTGTTGAGCCTGCGAGCGGGTCACAGTAGGTGAAAAGGTCGTCTGGCTGGTGTTGGAGGTTGAATCTGGCTTCCCTCCTGGTGGGCTGTTGTCAAGCCGAGGAAAGTTTGCTTGTGCTGCTTCCTGCTGAGGAGACTGCCGGCTCACAAAGGCTGGAGGAGCAGTGAGGGGAGGGGGGGAGTCCAGATCTGTGTCCATCAATCTCCTCAGAAACTCATTAAAACAAGGATAAAGTGTTTTTGGGTTAGAAGGGGTACACGTTTCAAAACTTTTTGTAGGATCTTCGGTCTTTAATGAATTAAATGCTACCAACCTCTGTCTCTCCCTTCTTTCCAA